ATGCTAACATCCCCATTTCCCATTTATGCCCTTTGATTTCTGAACAAAAGCAGATGCATTTTTCCTAAAGACACACACACTGAGAATCTATGTAGTTGAGGTGGTGGACAGGGGCCCCTCACTGCGGATCATAAACACACTCCATGCCTTCCCCTGGGGCTGTGAACTCCTGTCTGAAGTGAGTGGTCTGAGGTGGGGGGCGTAGGGGAGCAGGGGAGGGGCACAGCATCATTTACCTTCTGGTTCTCTTCCAAGCTTCCTTTAAGTCTATTTTAATGCAAAACAGGAGCACTAAGCCCGATCATTTTTTACCAGGTTAGCTGTGTAACCGTCCAGGTACCTGCCACTTAATTGTTGGTTCATAGATTCGTGTGTTCGTCAAGCACCCTGAGCACTTCTTGCCCACGCAGGCTGGGCACCAGCAAGAAAGCGGAGAATTTCTCCCCCTCGAGTTTACTGGTGCCCGAACTCACCAACCCCAGTTTGCTCTGGTCATTTCTTGAGATACTGGTGGGGGAAGCTCACCTGTCAGACATTAGCTGTTTAAGGAGCAAGGTTTTTTTGCGGTTTATAACTCATGTGCTGACGCGACTGGTCCGACACACTTGCTCGTATCAGGAAGGTGTGGGAGGCCCACAGTCCATGGGCAGGGTAGTGAAAAGATCAGGCGGTATTTAAGTTCATTCGGCTCAAGTTGCATGGTCGAATCTGGGTAATTAAACACCTAATTACGACCACCAGTTGCAGACCTAATTAAACCCCGGACACCGGCCCGGAATAATGGCCTCACTCCGGTGAGCTCTGGGGGAGCATTAGGACTGCAGGGCGCCCCCAGGCTGGGGCTACAGGATGACCCAGAGTGTGGCTGCTTTTCCCTATGGGATGGGGCTTCTCTGACCATAAATATAAAGAAAAATACTGCCCGCTCATGGGTGAGAAATGGGTCCTCTCTGCTGGCCCGGGCGCTGTGCTCAGCATCCACAGCCTCCCACCTGGGACCTGGTCTGACTCTGAGCCTCCGGTCACTGGATCATTGGTGTGGCTCTGCGGCCAGGCTGCCCCGTCAAAATACAATGCTGCCCCCGGTGACCTTTGGATTACAAAGTGGCGCATTGTTTTCATTGTGGAAGATGTGGGGAGAATGCAGGAAAATACCACTTGTAATTTCACCCAGAAATAACCTGCTGGGAAATGCCCGTTGTTAATATTTCCCCCAACAAAATTAGGATCAGATTGTTCAAACCATTTGGCGTTTGCTTTGCCCAATCTAACCTTATTTAAATAAGCATTTTAAAATAAGATTGAATGCCCTGGAAACGCAGTGTTTGCTTTCACCATGGCCTGTCACGTCTTACGGATACACCCTGCTTTATTCAAAGTCCCTCCCCCTTAGACACTCTTAGAGCTGCCTGGAAGCTCCAGATCTCCTTTGAACTTCTCAGAAAATCGAGTGACTCTGCTCTCCCACCATTTAAAAGGGGGAATAGGAGACTTTCTGTGAGCACTTAGGGGCTCAGAGTAAAACCTTGCACTGATTTTTAAAAAAAATCTCTTAATGATGTGCTTTTCTGCAAGGCCATTGTTTAAACCCTCTTTACATTTTTGTTAGGTCCCTCGGACGGGTTGGCACAGTGACTAAGTATAAATTCTGGTGAGACAAAATCATACCAGAGTCAGATCACCTTCTGCCCGCTCACAGGCTGGGCGCTTGGACGGCAGTGCTTCCCCCACCTCCTGTGGTCGGACCAGCCGATCCCACCAGTGCTGGCGGGAGCCCCGATAACGGAGTCCAAGGGGGCCTGGGGCTGCTGCTCCAAGGACAGCATGGAAGCCCGTGTAAGCGGATAAGCTGAGCCCCTCAGTGGGAGTTGGGGATCGCAGCCTCAGAAGGTGGCGATAAGGTTTCGGCGGCTTTTTTTGGTTAATCCTCACAGAGGATATTTTTTCTGTTGCTTCTGGAGACAGTGGGAGGGAGGGGGGAGGAGAGAGAGAGAGGAGATGGAAGCACCGACGTGAGAGGCACATCAGGTGGTTGCCTCCCACACGCACCCTGACCCGGGTGGGAAACCTGCAACCCAGGGACGTGCCCTTGACCAGGAACCAAACCCTTCGGAGCTCGGGCTGGCGCTCTAACCACTGAGCCACACCGGCCAGCCAGGGCTACAGCTGCTGTCTGCAGGTTGGCAGTGGGCCTCCACACCTGAGGTCAGCTGACTCTTGGGAGGCTCAGGAGAACGGGGGTGGGCATCCTGGTGGAGAGGAGGTGGAAACAGGCCTCCTGTGGAGACTGAGGGTGGCTACGGTTGTGTCTGAAACCACGGTCTTCCTCACCCTGGCAGATGGCAAAAAACGGCCATAAATTCTTTGCAGCTCCTTCTGTCAAAGTCTGGGCTTGACCAAGGACTTGCTGTGGCCCACAGCATCATAAATATGCAGGCGGAGACTGGAATAGAGCTCGGGCACTGGGGCTCATGCTCTCTTGTTGCTGGGACCACTTTGCCACCATGTGAGTGAGCCGCGTCTCCCAGCCACATGATGTCGGCATGGCTGAAACTCCAGCCGACATAAGACAACTGCCAGACACGTGGGTGAGGCCAGACCCACAATCGTGCCCAGTCAACCTGCAAACCAGGAGAAATAATAAACATTTTTCCAAGTCACTGAGTTTTAGGGTGGTTTGTTACTCAGCAAGGGCTAACTGATACACTCTCTGTTTCATACCGAGATGGTTGAAGGCAACACTTCAGGCTAGAGTTTGACCAGGCCCACGGTCATCGTTAGTCTTCCTGGATTCTTAGCTTTCTACCAACCTGTTCCTTCTGACCCACTTCTATCAGTTCTTGCTTTTGAGTAACTCTGCACCCAGTGCCCGGTCTTCTCAGAGAGACCCTGCCCGCCCTTCTCTGCATCTCTTTCATACTCTGAGCCTGCTGGTCTCCTTTCCCACTGGTCCCTTCTTCTGCCTTCCTCAGATCCTGGCTGGATCCTGGTTTGGGGAAGCCTGACCAAGAGACAATATCCCCAAATCACAGAGCCACAGCCCTGCCCCGGCAGGACATGTATGTCAGTGATGGCCTCATGCAGTGATGCCTTGCTCCTGGCACCTATGAGTGTGACCTTATTTGTAAATAGGTTGTAGAAATAATCAAGATGAGGTCATATAGTTTAGGCTGGGCCCTGATCCAATGACTAGTGTCCTTGTAAGAAGATTTAGCCCTGCCAGCTATGGCTCAGTGGTGGAGCATCCACCTAGGATCCAGGAGATCGAGGTTCGATTCCCGGTCAGGGCACATGCCCGGGTTGCAGGCTCGATCCCCAGTCGGGGGTGTGCAGGAGGCCGCCGATCAATGACCCTCTCATCATTGATGTTTCTCTCTCTCCCTCTCTCTCTGAAATCAATAAAGATATATTAAAAAAAAAAAAAGATTTAGACACCTCTGTGAGACATCCAGGGGAGGAGGCAGAGACTGGGGTGATGTTGCCACAAGCCAAGGAACACGAGAGTTGCCGGCAGCTGCCAGAACCGGTTAGAGGCGAGGAAGGCTCCTCCCCTGGAGTCCACAGGCCCTGCTCGCACGCTGGCCTTGGACTTCCGGCCTCCAGACCTGAGAGAGTAAGATCCTGTTGCTTGTAGCCACCAAGCTTGGGGCACTCTGTTATGGCAGCAGCCACAGGACACTGACACAGAAGGTGCGTAGCCCACACAACTGGGAAGTAGAGAAATCCCAAAGGGTTCAAGCCCAGTCCTGCCAGACTCCTTCCAGAACAGGCGGCCTCTGGATGACCCTCCATCCACTGGCAGAGGCTGGGCAGCCAGGAGGGAAGGAGCAGCCTCGTCTGGAGGCCAGTGGAGGGGGCGCCCTGCAGGAGGCTGGCTGGGGCCTCTGGATGCCTCCCAGGGCTCCCAGTCAGGATGGATGGGCCTGTCCGGGGCGAGCAGGCGATATGTAAGCAGAAGGAACATCTCTGCGTGGCTCCTTCCCACCCTGTAAACTGTAGTCAGCACATCGCATAGATCAGGCTGGGGGGCAGCCTTGGCTGTGGAGCCAGCGGAGGTTTCCATAGTGCTGGGCCTCAGGGCCTCTAGCACCGTGGGGCACACATCAGCTGCTTAACAGGCACCTCCGGGCACCTACCAGCAGCAGTGGGAACAGGCAGGCCGGTGAGCCAGCCACCTTCTGTCCTATGCCAACTGCCAGCCACCTTCTGTCCTATGCCAACTAGCGCGCCCAATGCATTTTTAACTTTTTGTAAAATTACTTTTAAGGAAAACAGCAGAAATTACTCCAGAGCTCTCACTGCCAAGAATCATCATCGGTGCCGCGGGGCTCGGATGCCAGGTCTCGCTGTCCTGAGAGGGACCCACCGTCCACCTCCCCCGCACCTGCCCCTTTGTTCCCCAGCGAATCCAACGTCCCTTGTTTTTGCCCCGCTTGCTGCTGGGTCTGAGGAACCGTGCCAAGGAGATGCCTGACGCATTTCCGTCACTCTGACTTCCTTCTCAGCGGGAGGGAGCTCGGCGTGTAACCGGTGCGTGTACGCTCACAAATGTGCACACGCCCACGCCCACTCCCACACAGAAGCACCTGAGTGTCCTTGTGCCCCCGCCCCCACGCACACACATCTTCAGGATGACTTTCTTTTCTCACACGATTCTTCGGGGCAGTGACCACAGACTCAGGCTCATTTGGCGAATGTCTGAGGCAGAAGGAAAGGCTGCCTCCTCCCCCACAGTGGACACCCTCCCCTGTGCCGAGTCCACGCGGCGCCTTCTCTTACCTGGGAGTTAAACGCCCGAGGCCACCAGCAGTAAACGAGCACCAGCTGCGGTGTCTGTGTCCCACGTGAACTCGGTGTTGGCTACAGGGAGACGGGGCTGCCTCAGGTCCCCACTTCCCCGCACAGGCGCCAGTGTCCCCTCGCAGCTCAGGAACGCAGGACGCGCAGGCGCCAGGCGCCGGGGTGGGCCTNAGTGTCCCCTCGCAGCTCAGGAACGCAGGACGCGCACGCGCCAGGCGCCGGGGCGGGCCCGGCCTTCAATGCCGAGTTTCCACGGGGGACACAGCATGTCCCACCGCGCGGGCCCCGGTGCCTCTGAGCAGCACCGCGTCCTGTCTCCACGTGAGAGCGGTGTATCTGACACACTGCTCCACTGACAAAAAGCACAGAACTCATTTCTGTATAAGAATATATTATTTAAAAGGCAGTTTAAAAATAAAAATTCTGTACAGCATCATGAATTCCTTTTTTTGTTATCAGTGAACAAAATGGTTCTTAGAAAACGTGGTCACGAGCGCGATGGGGTCAGGATCAGCTTCTCCCTGCGCCGAGAAATCTCACGTTGGTGGCTGAGCGGGATCACCTGGGGCGTCCTGCTTCCTTCAGGCCAGGTCTGCTGAGGATGGAAAATAACCATAGGTTTATTTCTGTTGGGGTTGAAATGTGCAGGCGATATTGCAAATGTCACAGGACGAGACACAGGCTGTGTTTGAAAACTGAGGCCACAGGACATATTGTCGAGCATGTTTAGGCAAAATAATTTCGATTGCTTTTCCGAGCCATTCAGAAATATGACCTGACTTCTGCTTGCTTAGCTGCTGAGACGGCAACGAGAGTGTTATTGCCTCCGGGGAAAGGCTGGGCTGAGGCGCAGGGAAGCGGCAACACCTGTGCACCGTCTGCACCCAAGGCCTGGCTCCTTGGTGCCGGGGCCCCTGCTCCTCTTATAAAACCCCACCCAGTGTCTCATGCCCGGCACCCCGAGTACTTTATAAACTGAGACTCGGGTGGCTCAGCCGCATGCGGGGTGTAACCCAATCCTCGGCCGAATGGGCTGGCGCTCGCCTTCCGCGAGGACTGGCTGGGTGCTTTCACAGGTGCTCGGGAAACAAGCCCCGCGATGCCAGCAAACGCCTCCTTTGTAAACGCTTTACTAAGTGTTTTTCCTTAGGAGCGGTACACGTGCTAATTGCTGACCTTTCCCAATTAACTAAAGCATGCCCCTTCCTTCCTTCCGAGCCTGATTCTAATTATTATGAGCAAGGAATACGAATTTCACTCATTTAAAAATATCTGGTATTTGGGTTTCCTCTTGATTCCTCCCTCCCTCCTTCCTCAGATCCCACTGGCTCCACTTCACTGGGAATTACTGAGACGTCGATGCCGACAGCATTACCTTCGCTTTTTTTCACATCTCTGCTCTTCTCCCTCGACTTATCGGCACCCCCGCCTGTCAGGCTCTCTGTCTTCTTCTGTAATGAGAACAGAGCACAAAAGGCGGCGGGGGTCAGGCTCAGGGACAGTGAGTGACTGCGGAGTCCTCGGCCCTTCTTCCTTTTCGGGGCTGTCCTTTCTGGGGGCAGGAAGGCTCCTTGGAGGGTCCCAGTGGCCCCCACTGGGGCATCTGGGGCTGGGACTTGGGGACTCAAGGCCTTCATCGAGTTGACTCGTGGATGACCCAGGAGAGGAGGGGCCCCATAGGTCTCCTGCAGGGGCTGGGCGGGGGGATGCCTCTTCTTATATCTGTCCTCTATATCATTTGCTCTTAAGCTTTAGGAGTTTCAGGCCCTGCCTGTGACCTTCTAGAATCTAACTAGAGAGGCCGAGATGGCTGGTCTGCTTGTCAGCGGGCTCACAGCATTTACTGAGCACCTACAATGCGTCTAGTAGGCTGACAGAGGCAAGAGCAGCACAGGACGAGCCTCGGCAAGGTGTGGTGGGAGCTCCCAGTGGCAAAGGCAGGTGGGAGGCCCTGGCTGGAGTTAGCAGTGAAGAAACGGTACTGAGCCAGGATGGGGGGCTCTGCCAGGGTGGGATGGGGTGAGGTGAGCCACGGCCAGATGGGGCCCAAGTGTGAGGCAGCAGGGAGACCGTTCCAGCTGTATCAGGGCCTCTGGGGAGAGGGACACCACACCTTGGGTGGCTGGAGGTCAGGTGGGAAGGTTCTTGGGCAATGCCAAGAGGAGGGGGCCCTGACGCAGAGATTTGCACACCCTGGGTCCTGACTCGGCCAGACCAGCTTGTGGGACTTTGTGGGAAGCCTCCACCCCAGCTCCGAGCCTCCCCAAAAGACAGCATCAATCCCCCAGAGCACCCTAAAGCCAGGCCCAGTCTGCCTCCTTGACCCCTGGGAGTGGCCGAGCTGCCTCAGGTGAGGGTCTGTGGCTTAGAGCTGGGAGGAGGGTGGCCGCTTTTTCCATGCCAGGACGACCATCTCTTCCCACCGCCCTCTCACTGAACAAGGTCAGTCCTGGGCAGGAGGAGGGAGGGCGTGGGGCCAGAGCTGCTCGCAGGGTCGGCGACGCTGCGGACGCTGACACGCGGTCCCATCCTGGGGCAGCGCTGTCATATACTGTCCAACCACAGCGGATTCCCTGACTGACTGACCTGCCTTTTCTTTGGGTGGAATGAGCGCCCGTCCCCAGGGGCCGCCTCGGTGGCGCCAGCAGTGCGGACGGAGCCCGCTGTGCCTGCTGGCCCCGGAGGCCACGCTCACCTCCGTCAGGGCGTCGTCTATTTGCTTCAGCTCCTCGTAGCGGTCTCTGGATTCCCACAGGGGCTGCAGCATGCTCTCCTCAACCATGGGGAAGAGCTGGCGGGAGACAGACTCGGTCAACAGTCCACCTCTGAGGCGACAGAAAATGTTTGGGAACAACAGGTGGTGGGTCCTGTGTCTCGGTGGGTCACACAGGAAACCTGCCTCCATCCAAGCTGCCACAGGCTCCTCTCTGGTGCCCGGGCAGTGGAGGCCACGGGGTGGCTCTGAGAGACACTGCGGAGGAGGTCTCCACGGGAGCCAGCAGGCCGGCCATGGTGGCGGCCAAAGGGGAGGCCAGGAGGCTCTGTGGCTGTGCCGCTGGGTGACACGCCAGAGCAGCAGGAGCTGGGAGGGGCGAGTGGAGAGGCGAGAGGATGAGTTTTGGGCATGTCCGTGTTAAAGTGGAGGGGGATTCAGGTGGGTGCCAGGCAGGCAGTTACAGCTCGCGTGCATGTGTGTGAGCGTGTGCACTCGTGTGTGCACTCGTGTGTCGTGACATCCAGCGTGTGGTGATGGTCACTCACCTTGGTCACTGTTTCAAACATCGGGATCAGGACGAACTTGATGAACCCGATTTGGGCAGTGGCTTTGGTCACTTTGTCCCGGTCCATGAAAGGGGCCACGGGAAGGCCTTCCGACTTCTCCCGGTCGCTCTGGGGGTGCAGCAGACAGCAGCATTAATGAAAGAAACAGGGAACCCGGGGGACTCTGGGGATCGCTGTTCTTCCAGGAAGGGATAAATGAGCTAATATGCATTATGTAAATGAGTAATACCAATGACTAATTATTAGCACAGATGATGACATCCGATTGCTAACCAGGGTGCATGCTGGGCGCGCAGGGCCATGCCAGGAGGTCGAGGGAGGGGCAGGCAGAGCCTGATTAAGTGGGTCACAGGATGCTCAGTGGCAGAAGTAGCTTGAGGACCCCCCTCCGAGTCCTCTTGGGGCTCATCAAGCTGCTGTAGTCAGTGGCTTATTCTTTCATTCTTTGGGAGGCTGGCCTGGCCTTCTGTGCCAGAGCTTCCCCGCCACCCCTGGGGGCCCTTCTTGCCCCTGCGGTTGTTCTCGACCTCCAGGCCCTTCTTCTGACACGTCCGCCCCTAACAGCGGTTCCATTAGAGGTGACAGGTGGCAGTTTTACAACATTAGCTTTCCCAGGTTGTCACTGTCTCTCTGTCTGAGGTTACAGCTCTTTCGTTTTTGACGTGTGCCTATCGGGAAGGCTTTCTAGAGGCTGGAGAAATTTCCGCCGACCCATCTGCTAGTCCACTGTGACACATCCGGCATGGTTCAAATGCGGATCTCGTTTAAGGGGTTAGGAAGAGAGAGGAGGCTTGAAATGAAATAAAATACTCTCACCTGCATAAAATATTCTTCTAATAAGCAGTCCACCCAAGGCTCTGCTACTTCCATCGGGCGCACCTCGTTAGAGATATCACAGCATTTTATCAAAATCATCTTCAGCTGAAAGAAGAGACTTGGAGTCAGGCAACGGCATGAAGACCTGAACCCACCGCAGTTTGGGCTGGACTTGCCGCCCAGGAGAGGAGCCCGTGGGTGGGTGGGTGGTGCTGCCCAGGGGGCTGAGCTCTGCTGCCCCCTCCAAGGCTCGGCCAGGTCACCTGTAGGGGGTGCCCTGGTGGTCTACCTCTAGACCCTCAGCCTCAACTGGGGAGAATGGGGGAGTCACTGCACCCCTGTAGGATCAGCATGTTTTCCTGGAGGGACCCTGAGTGGTAGAACAACCCATTTAAACACAAGGACCCTCTGTCATATGAATATACATTGTGAAGTTCAAAAGTGTCTTTTTGATTATTGAGGATACAGAAAAAGTGCAGCGAGGCATCGCTAGTGACGAATGGAGCCACTACAGTCAAGCTGCTGAATTATTAAAATCACGCTGCCTGAGGCAGGAGATGACTGTTCTTGTACTAACCAGCCTGGGGACTTGCACGTGAACTCTCCAGTCCTGTGTGACAGGGACGCCGTCAGACCTCCAGGTAACCCTCTGACTGATTGCCTCTGAAGGGCTAAAATGGACATCAGACCTCCAGGTAACCCTCTGACTGATTGCCTCTGAAGGGCTAAAATGGACATGACCAGCCCTCCTGGTGTCCATCCCCCAGCCCACCCGGCGTCTGACTGGGAGCCATCCTGGACCAACCCTAGGGCCAAAAATGCAGGGCTGATTCTTCTCAAGAAGGTACTTTCTGCCATAAGAACTCTTAGTTTTTCCCTCTTCTCTGGGACATTTCTGGGTTTTTGCCTAGTTGTGTGTCTGGTGTGCAAAGTCTAAGACTCTTTAGTAAATCTTGGTCATTTATTTCCAGCCAAAGCTTCCAGACTCTTATGGAGTTCGTCTGACATTAAGAATCAGAGGTTAGCCTGGCCGGGCGTGGCTCAGCGGTTGAGCGTCGACCTGGAATCCAGGTCATCGGGGTTCGATTCCCGGTCAGGGCACATGCCGGGGTTGCGGGCTCAATCAATGACTCTCTCATCATTGATGTTTCTATCTCTCTCTCTCCTTTCCTCTCTCTGAAATCAATAAAGATATATTTGGGGGAAAAAAAAAAGAATCAGAGGTTGAAAGGGTAATAAAAGTGGATAATGCTGGGACCCCCGAGTGACAAAGTGGCACATTAGAAATACTGGGTGAAGGGGACCTTCACATAAAAGCAGGCAGGGCATGGCCTCGGCACCCAACCCCTGCACAGGAGTGGCAACACCAGCTCCCTCCTGCCCCCTCCAGCCCAGGGGAAGCAGAACTGCACCAGTGTCAGAGGTGGCTCTAGCTTCTGCCCTCTGCACCCACGCCCGGCGTCTTCCCGGTGCTGGCCCGGGCTCTCAGCCTGCACTCAGCCCACATTGCCACCCTGCAGAAGCCTCTTCCCCAGTGCGTCCTCTCAGGTCCTGCCCTGGCCCCTCTCCAGCCTTCCTGGCCACCCCAGTCCCCGATGGCGGCCCCCACAGCACAGGCCTGTGTCCAGTCACGTCCTGTATGTGCTGTTCCCCAGGTGGGTGCATGTCTGGTCTCCCAGGAGGCAACTCCCTGTGAGCCTGGGGAGGTTTGGGCACACAGTGGGTCCTTCGGATGGACACTTGTCAGACTTGGCCAGAGCGTTTCTACCCGAACCGGCCAGAAGAGTGCCTCTGGGACTGGCCAAGGCACAGATGACTTGCTCCAGGTGCAAATGACTGTCACCAGGAATTGCTGGTGTCTGAGGTCAAAGTGTTGGCCGCACTCAGGTCTGAGGCTGGTTTGGGATGAAGGTCCACCCGGGTGTGGGCCTGAATCTATCTTCCTGGGCTGCTCTTCCAGGACAAGGGCCTGGAACATGACTGGGCAAAGGATGGCTGGGCGCAGCTTACCGTCTGGCTGAACATCGAGGTGAGCGCTGCCTTTAGCCCCTCCCTCGTCACCCCGCCCTATCGCTTCCTGAGAACTGACCTAGGCCGGGCACCAGGCTTGGGCCAGCCAGGGCACGGCCTTTGTGGAGGGAGCTGAACATGGCTCAGGCCTCGGCCACCGGGTCCCCAAGTTGCCCTCCCAAAGGCTGGTGTCCAGTGTGTTTTCCAGAGCTGTGCTTTCGCAGGGGAACTAACTTTATTCTCAGGAAACCAGAGCAAATGAATCGCCTTCGCCCACTTATCTTCAAACCAAGTGAGACGGGGATTGAAAAACGCTGCCTGTAGCCAGGAGGGAGCTTTACCAGGAGAGGGTTCCTGCTGGCGGCTTTCCCTGGTGAGACTGGGGACTTTGAAAACCAGCTTTATTGACACCTCACTCCAAGGCAAGGTGAAGAATTCTGGTTTCTGGGTTTCCAGGCTGAGCCCGAGGGGAGGGCTCACTCACCACCACCCGCAAGAGGTCAAACAAGCCTACTCACCAGGGTCATGTGCTCCTCGTTGCTGTAGTCAAAGTTCTCCATTTTCTCTTTGAAAGCATCCATGATTTCGGCATGCCTCGCCATGTCCGTGGCCAGGATCAATGTGATCATCCCCTGAAGAGTGAAAGAGCAAAGCACTAAGGCCGGGCAGATCCCAACGATTCCTCAGCGAGCGCCGACTGTGTACCGAGCTCTCTGCACACACCGGGTCATGGGGTCCTCATGCTGACTCTGTGTGTGTCTAGGAATTACTGTCCTCATTTTTAGATACAGAAACTGAGACCAGACGAGGCCAAGGACCCTGCCCAGGCCGCAGCTGGAGAGGGGAAGGCTGGGGCTCAAGCCCGGGTGGGAGCTGGTGCCTCCTGTGCTGTGTCTGCGAAGCAGCAGCAGCCACGTCCGGGCCTCCAGGGTGACTCACTCGCGGACGGCAGGCTTAGCCACCCACAGATGCTTCCCCTCAGTTTAGCAATCTAGACACATGGTTAGTCCCTTCTAGGTCTTGTTGGAGGTCAATGACTGCTTTTCCAAGGGTATTTTTCCCTGTTATCTAATCTGTATGTGATTATATGGGCATCTATTGCTTGGGAATGGTCAAAGTCTGGTTATTCATAATGGCATTCTTCTATGAACAAATCTGTACGTGAGGACGCGGTGAGTTTTTAATATAAATATTTTATGACCCTGCTGATCAAATATTGGTTTAAAAGTAACATAATTCAAAACCATGACCATCTATCTGACCATCCATCCATCCATCCATCCATCCATCCATCCATCCATCCATCCTTCCTTCCTTCCATCCAATCCACTCATCTACCCATCAATTTCTCCATCTAACTTGTCCATCCGTCTGTGTGTTGATCTGTCCATCCATCCATCCACCCACCCATCCCACAAGCACTGACAAACACGCTTCTGTGCCGAGTACGCTGTCCTACTTTTTCAAGAAAATAAAAGCATTAGCATCAAATGCAGAGCTCAGAGCAGCCTCTACAGATCATCTCAAATGTATGTTGGTATTTTGAATGATACGACTTCCCCGTAAAGATTTAACTGTCTAATAGTAAAGGATTGATGCCCGTGAGGAGCTGGCCCTCAAAATATTCAATGACAAAATGTTATTAAAACTTGGGACAACTGATTTTATCCTCAGGAAAAAAATCTTGTTTGAACATCAGTGAAGTGTTTGAGGCAGGGCGACCCTGTGTGTCCCCGTGGCACAGCGTGAGGAAGATCCCGGCTGTGGGGCGAGCCGCTCCTCCGGCCAGGCAGCTCCTGCGCAGGGAGGATGCGGAGCCTCGCATGGAGGGGGTTCAGGTGCTCCGATTCTCTGCATCGCTGGGCAGCCATCGGGGCAGCGGCCAATGCAGTGCTATCTGCAGGATTCGCCACTTTACCTGCTTCGGAGAGAGGTTCCCTAGGGCTATGAGGACAACGTGTGGTGCATGCTTCCCAGGTAGTTACTTAAACTTGGGGGAGAGGCCAGAGAGCCTGGACACAGGAGAGAATTGTACGGGAACCAGTGATTCAGTGCAACAATGATTAAGCACCGTATTTAGCCCTGTCCTTCCTGGAAGTGGGGACACAGTGGTTTATGAAGCTGTTTTCTGATAGAGTGAGGTTTATGAGCTCTCCAGAAGTGAGGTGAGTGGCACTGGATTCTAGACTCTTTATCAGGTGCGTCTTCAAGCAATGCCACAGAGACATCAAACGGGTGAGGTTCTTGTCCGTGGTTGTCGGAGTACGGCTCCTCCAGGCATGGCCGATGGCTCCTGTACAAGTGTCCTGAGGCTGCCACACACGGACTGGGTGACGTAAAACAGAAAGGTGTTCTCTCACGGTTCTGGAGGCCAGAAGCCTGAAACCAAGGTGCTGGTAGGGCCCTACTCCTTCCGAGGGCTCCAGGGGAGGGTCCTTCCTGCTGCTTCCAGCTGCTGGTGGCCCCAGCAGTCCTTGGCTTGTGTCCACATCACTCCAGTCTCTGACTCTGTCATCTCAGGGCCTTGTCGTCCATGTACCTGTGGCTTCTCCTCTTCTGTCTCTTACAGAGGCGCTTGTCATTGGATTTAGGGCCCACCTGGATAGTCTAAGATCATCTCATCCAGAGACCCTAGCTTAATGACACTGTGAAGGCCCTTTTTCCAAGTAAGGTTACATTCATGAGGTCTGAGGGGCAGAAGGTGGACATACTGGGGATTTTTTGGTGGGGGTGTGGCTACCATTCAACCCACTGTATTCCTCCAAGAGATCACCCTGATACTTTCCCTCCCCTGCAGACGTCAAAGGGTGGTGCAGAGTCGTGCTCAGTGGGACCTCCTGCGTGAAGGGGGTATTGTTTGTGGTGAGTTGGCAGCGTCTATCTCGGGACGAATGGTGCCCTCACCCTCCTTCCCAGTGCCCTGGGAAGTGGTAAAGTCTCTTATCCAAAGTGAGCAGTGGGGCTGACTGGGTGATGGGATGGCAGGGGACAGCAGCGGGGGGCAAGGGGACAGTGGTCAGGGCTCTGCCAGGCTGGATGCAGCAGGCGTCTGTCCAGGGCCTGCCATGGATTCACTGAGTTCCCTCCTTGGACAAATACCCAACGCCTGTGAGCCTCACCCCCCTGGGCTGCAATGGAGAAAGGGTGCATCTCGAAGGATAAGCTCAGCAGGGGATGTGAACTGCCGTCGGTGGAATCCCAGGTACGCGTGCCTGGGCACACACCTCTTCTTGGGTGAGCCTCAGAGGCGGAGGGAAGGAGAGCCAGTGCCCCTGGATCCCTGGTGGGCACTGAGGGACCGGGAGCTCCCGGGAGCCTCAGCCACTGGAGAGGGGGTTCTCTCGGAGTTGTGCTCACTGTCTCCACCCAAACTCCCCTTCACTCTGCAGCCAGAGTGCCCTCCCCCACACACCTGTCTGATCTGCTTGAACCCATCCGCCTGCACGTTGGAGAAGATGTTGCACTCAGGCTGGGCGAGGATCTGGAAGGCCACGGCACAGTGGTGATTCTCCAGGGGCGAGATGTCATTGTAGCGGACGGCCAGCTCTGTGCGGGCATTGATCTGGTACCTGGAGCGGGGGTGGGAGGGGAGAGGGGCCTCAGGAGCAGCACTCAGAGGCACCCGTAAGTCAGGGCAACACGCCAAGGTGTCTGAGTGGTGCCCAAAGGGGCTGGGAGACTGTGAAGGGGCTGGCAAAGGTGGCTGCACTCGGCCCAGGCCAGGAACTCCCTTCTTCTGGCTCCCTCGACTCTCTGCTGCCCCTTTAATGAGATGATCCCAAGTTTGTTTCATCCTACCAGGTGGACACCACCCAGAAATCTCAATTTCTCCATTATGGTGCCCTGAAGGCGACCAGGTCTTTTGTTACAGCCTCTTGCAAAACATTTCAATGTGTGCAAAAGACAGCCATCTGGGAGGAGAATCAGCCGCTGTGGCCCAGGCCCCGCGCTGGCCCATCACAGAGAGTGGACACTCGGAATCCACTCTGGTCCTGACAAATGGCAGCAAGGTTCTGGGACACATTTGAGGTGATCGTGCATACGATAAAACTTGTACATAAATGCACACATTTGATAGAAAGAAGCCACGTGTCACTGTAAATGCAACCCAATGCCACGCGGTTGGACTGCGCAGTTAGGAGTGGGACCCTGTGCCTTCAGTGCCCGGAGCCAGGAGTGGATCAATGTTCTACCAAAGCCCCCACGGCCCACGGGGACCCCTCCCCCTCCATCCACACTCCTCTAGCTCAGTCCTAGCCCGCAGTCTCATCCCTGTGGGGAAGAGGCCGGGGAGGCTGCCGAGCAGGTTGGAGATCCAGAGAACGGGGCCTGGTGGCTGCCTGCATCCCGTCCGTGTGAGGGCATCAGGCCCTGCTTCAGGGGAGGGCGGGTCTCGCTCGTACCACCAGGGCTCTAGGCCTGTGCAGAGGCGCTGCCTGGAGCCAGGACCACAAGAGGTGTGGCAGCCTCTCAGGGTCCTGCCCCAGGGAGGCCCTAGGCCTTGGAAAAAGTTCCAAAGTGGGGAGCTGTGTCCCACTGAGGGGGTGCTGGGGCTCGGAGGCCTCCGTTGACAGCTCCGATTTGGGACTGGCCTGCGTACTGAGCTGAACCGAGGGCCCTTTAAGAGGAAAAGTGATCGTGCACGCACGTGTTGTTGTATCCTGGGTGATCCAGATCGTGGCAGATGGCTGCGGTCATGAGGATCAAGATATCCATTTGGGAAAACTTCTCCTGGGTTAGAGAGAGGGGGGATGGGGTGAGGAGGGGGTGGAG